GAGAGAGAGAGAGAGAGAGAAAAAAAAAAGAGAGAAAGAGATAGATAGACTTAGCTGGATATATCGTGAAATCAACGACGTGGAAGCAGCGTGGAGTTGTATGATAGAGAAAGAAAAAATAGAAAGAGAGAAAGAGAGAGAAAGAATGTGTAAGAAGGAAAAGGGAATAAGGTGGGAGTAAGGTAGAAGGGTGGTTTTAGATAGGGGTAGGGAGAAAGAAAGAAAGAAAGAAAGAAAGAAAGGAAGAAAGCAAGAGAGTGAGTGAGAGAGAGGGAGGATTTAGAGAGAGATGGAATACTCAGTGGTGGATAGGGCGCAGGTGTGTCGAATAGTCCATCTCTCTCTTTCTAACGAGTATATGCGACTATGTGCGCGCGAAACCGAGTACCGTTGGGTAGAAGAAAGGGTGGCTGAGGGTGAGAGCGGGAGGTATTGGATAGGTAGTGGGGGTAAGAGTAAGAGGTGGAGGATGAAGAGGAAGAGGCAAACTGAGGGGAACAGTGTGGTGTATACACAGGTAGATGGTAGGTTGTACGCGAAGGGAAAGAGAGAGATAGAGAGAGAGAGAGAGGTGGTTGCCAGGGGTTGGAGGTGGAGGAATAGAGGAGGAAGAGGATGAGAGAGAGAGAGAGAGAGAGAGAGAGAGGAGGATGAGGTTGGTATGGAGGTGGTGGAGGAGGCAAGCTTGGTGCGTCAGAGCCTGCAGTGAGCCCGGCAGTGAGGCGAAACGTTGGGCTCCGCGCGGGAGTCTCGTGGCCGCCCGCTTTTCTTTCAGTCGGGGTGCCTTTTTCCATTACACCCGACCCCCTTCTTCTTCTTCTTCTTCTTCTTCTTCTTCTTCTTTTTCTTCTACTTCTTCTTCTTCTATTTCTATTTCTTCTATTTTTTCTTCTTCTGCTATTATCATTACATCTATTACTATCTCTGTCTCTTTCTAGTACAACAAGAATTCTTATTCTTCTTATTCTTCTTATTCTTATTTTTTCTTCTGCTATTAATACTATTACTATTGCTATTGCTACTATTATTATTAGTACTATTATTACTGTCACTTTGCTCGATCATAAAAAATAGAAAAAAAGATATATATAATAATAATAATAATCAGTGTCAACACACACTCATGACAATTATTCTTCTTTATTGCTAATATACTATTACTAATTGCTACTATTTACTATTTACTATTACTACGATCACACCAACCAGACGACGAAATTATTGCAACAACAACAAAAAAGAAAAAAACCAAGCAGAATCATAAGAACAACAGCAACAACAATAACAACTATTATCAACTACAACAAGAACAATAATCGTGACGAGGACTCGTAGGCATCAGCGTTCTCCCCAAGGCACGCACGCACGCACGCACGCATGCACGCATGCACGCACGCACGCACGCATACAAGCACGAATTTTTTCTTCTTAAATCTTTCTCTCTTTTTTTTATTCTTCTTCTAATTTCGCTAATTTTTTAATTAATTTCAACATGTATATCGAGATTTAACACGAATGTAAAGAGAGGAAACAAGAAAGATAGAAAGAGAGAGAGAGAGAGAGAGAAAGTGAATGTATGAAATGAGTGAATGATCACTATCGTCGATCATCTATCTATTTCACTCTCTCTCTCTCTCTCTCTCTCTCTCTCTCTCTCTCTCTCTCTCTCTCTTCTTTTCTCTTTATCTCTTTCCTTCTTTCTCTCTCATTTTCTATTTCTCTTATTCGTCTATCAATCTTTCTTTCTATTTCTTTCTCTCTTTCTCTTTCTTTTTCTCTCTGTCCTCTCCCGTTTTCGTAGTAACGGTGAAACAAACGTGTGCTTGTTACGGTTAGGCCGCGTTGACCTCGAGGACCGGTCGGAATACGATTTGAATCCTTTAAAAGTGTCGAAACGAGCGTAGACACGAAAGGGCTTCTTCTCTTCCCTTTTCATTTCATTTCATTTCATTTCATTTACACACATTTTCTTATTTTTCTTCCTCCTTCTCATCTATTGATAACCGAGAAGGAAGGAAATCATCGAGTTGGTTTTTTCCAAAGAAGAAGAAGAAAAGAAAGAGAGAGAGAAAACAAGAGAGAGAGAGAGAGAGAGAAAGAAAGAAAAAGGCGTGGAGGAAAAGAAATTAGATAAGTTTCTAATGTTAATAATATAATCGGTGATTAGAAATCATTTGGAAAGGAGGAAGGAAGGAAGGAAGGAAGGATCGTGTGCAGGTGACGGACCTTTTTTTCGTGAGAGGAGGAGTAGGAGGAGGTGGAGGTGGTGGTGTTGGAGGAGAAGAAGAAGAAGAAGAAGAAGAAGAAGAGGAGAAGGAGAAGAAGGAAGGAAGCATTGGAGGAGGTGGAGGTGGAGGTGGAGGTGGAGGTGGAGGTGGTGGTTGATGGTGAAAGAGGGGAATAGAGCTCGAAAGGGGTGAGGTAAAGGTGGGTGGGTGCATTCGGTGGTGCAGACGGCGTGCGGCGTCGTGTGTTGCCTCTCTTACCCCGCGATCTCTCTCACGCACCGCCAATGCGGCTGAGATCGCGCGATCCCATTGGCCGACATCGTGCCGTGGTGTCAGCGATGGGTACGTCCAGGTTCGACGCTCCTGCTTGACCAAGAACGTCCTGCGGAATCCCTCGCGTCGCGTCCTTCCATCCTTTGAAACGGTTTTTTTTTTTCAACTACTTATTAACTTTTTACGAACGTGGACCAAAAAGAAAATTTCTTAAGGAAAAAAAAGTGGATGGTTTTATGTATATATATATATATATATATATTCATAAATACATACATACGTTTATGTACGTGTATATATATGTGCATATGCATATCGTAATATTACCAGAGATAAACGGTGTGTGTGTGTGTGTGTGTTTGTGTTCAGTGTTGTCAATCATCTCGTCGTCTTCGTTCTTCCTTTCTTCTTTTCCTCCGTGTTCCGTGTTATATTACAACCGACAGGAATCTAATATTCTTTACGACTTAAAATGCATCCCTTTTCTTCTGCACCACCAACCGTAAGAAGAACTCAGCCCAAGGTCGTTGATACGACGTTCCAACGATGATTATCGCTAACGACTAGGATACCACTAGGACAACTTATCTCATGGTGTACCCTTTATATTGTCACGAATAAGTTTTCTTCCCCCCCCCCGCCCCCGTTTTCTTTTCTTTTTTTATTAAACATCAAAAAATAACGAACAGTTAGGGATCTTATTTAGATTTTCTTCTACTAATTTTTCCTCTTTTTCTCATTCTCGTTCAATTCTAGTTCTTCTTCTCCCGAGGTTGAATGTTTTTACGTGATATTTAACGTAACAGATCGTACGTCAAATTGTAGTTGCTTTTCTTCCATTTCCTTTCTTTTCTATTTTTTTGTTTCGTTTCGTTTTTTTCGTGAGATAACACGTGGCACATACTTTACCACGATTATATTTATTTTCTTCAAATTATTATCTCAATTTATTTTTCCCCATTAATCCCATATGTTTGTAACATATCTCACATCGTTATTTCGTCGATGTAAACCGTTAGAAGGCGACCTGTAGAGTTTGGATCGAGCGTTTGCCAAACACGCGGCTTCTCACCCTCTTGATAAGATCATCAATGGTTGTGGTCACTTCATTAGAAATTTTCTAAGTTCCTTTAAAGTTCAATCTATCTATCCAACTATCTATCTATCCAATTATCTATCTATCTATCTATCTATCTACATTGATTTATTCAAATAAAAAATCCGTCTTATTCATTTCCTCGTTCATCAACGAACGATCTAATCTTTCGCTCGTTCAAAAGGGGGTTCGAAGAGGATCACTGAAAAGGGGTGGTTGGTATGAATGCGAGATTAAGTGTGTCAGTGGGACGATAGCCGAGGTTTTAGTGAATGTAAACGCGTTTTCTCTGCGTGCTTGCGCTTGCTTGCTTGCTTGTTTGTTTGCTTGCTTGCTTGCTTGCCTGCGTGTCTTTCTTGTGTTTGTTTTATCTTTTTCTTTTTTCCAATTAATTTATTTCCAATTATTATCATGTTTTTTCTTTCTTTCTATTGTTTTTCCTCTGGGGTTAATTTTCTTTTTTTTTTAATTACACGAACGAACAAAAGGAGGAGTTTAAATAAATCGAATCCTTTTGCTACGAGTTATCACATTGAATTGTATTCATGTAAAAAAACAAGGAGAAAGATAATAGATGTAGAAGAGGGAGAGGGAGGGGTGGAGGGGTGATTGGAAAATCGGAAAATTTGTTTGTTCATCGTTCGTTCGTTCGTTCGTTCGTTCGTTCGTACGATAATTTCTACGAAATATTTGTTTTATTTTTTGGTGCTTAGTATCATACGAGAAGGTAGTTTATCTCGTGCCGGTTTTAAAATCTAAAGGATTACGTACGAAATCCTGGACTGTTGTTGTTGGTTTTTCGTTGCCGAGATAAAGAAGTTAAAAAAGAAAAAAAAAGAAAGGAAAATAAAGAAGAAGAAATAAGTAAAAAGATAGTAGAGTGCAGTGCGTATCAACAATTTACCTGTTTTCTCTCTTCTCCTCCCCTTGCCACGTCATGCATGACCGGTGAAAGTTCGCTTCAACGAGTGCATTGATCTACTGAAGTTAAGAGGTAAGAGAGAGAGAGAAAGAGAGAAAGAGTATACGTGTCTGATGTATGCGTGTGTATGTATGTGAGGAATATATGATTGAGATATCAAAGAAATATTAAATCAAACGAATTAGAAACGAAATGGGATTCGACGAGAACACTCTTGTTCATTGATTAATTTAAAAAAGAAATAAATTTTGGTTTTTTTGGTTTCGAATCTCGCACACGCCCAAATTAGAAATAAATTAATTAATTCAACGTAACGTGTCAGATCGATTAATTTATTAGTTATTTTATTATTAATACATTAATTATTCAATTATAACGCGCGAGAACGTTGTGAAATTTGGTTATATTATATCGTACGACGTATTATATAAAAATATATAAATAAATTAATTGAACGAAAAAATGTGCGTGAAAATGTGGATCATTGAATGATTAATTAATTTCTCAATTGTGCAATTGAGAGAAAAAAACAAAAACGAGTAATAAAATTTGTTCTATATAATCGTCGATTATTGTAATTTGTATTTGTTTTTTTTCACTTATCGTTTTATATATTTATTATTTGTCCTCTTATTTCCCTAATGTTTCATCATTTAACGTGTCTGTTTATACCTAGGTAACATTTTACCTAGCAAGAGAGTATATGTCATCATCAAAGTAATTTTATTCTCGTCGATCAGAGTTCTACGTCTCCCCCCCCCCCCCCCCCGTTTATGTCTCCCTTTTATTATTTCAATCTTCGTACGTAAGAGAGAGAGAGAGAGAGAGAGAGTAAAGAAAGGACTAGATTTGAAAATGAGAATTTGCACATTTGCAGTTGGTATATTATTATCGGTAAAACTCGTGTATATTGTATTTATCGTGTCATTAATCATGAGAAACTGTACGTGATAATGTTATAACGTTTGCAGTTTATAATGGAACCAAATTTCATCTTATTAATTCTCGATTATTTCGCTAAACTTATTTTGTTTTTGTTATGATATAAGAGAAAGAGTAAAGAAATAATAGATGAAAAAAATATACGAGATAAAAATACGCGTAACGTTTGGATATTCAAAATAAAAATAAAAAAGAAAACGAAAAGAATATTTTTTAAATTCTTGCCCTTTTTTATTTATTTATTATTTCTAATTTTTGTTTTTTTTAATACCTACGATATAAAAATCGTGAATTATCGAGAGAAACCCCCTCGTTTAGCGTTGACTTTATTTTTCCTCGGTGCGTTCCTCCTCGACAAAGGAGATCGATTTACGTCGACCCAGAACTATTTTTAATGCCGTAGTGAAACGGATTAATTTCGTGCGGTTTCTGTTCCGTAGTCGTAGGATTCCTTCTCTCGTCGTCGTCGTCGTCGTCGTCGTCAGGCTCCTTCCTTTTCGGGATAAGGTCTTGCACATTTAATGAAACGATTCAGCAAAGAAAGCTTTTCGTTTCAGCATGCATTTAAATTCGACCCGGGAGTCTCTTCTTTTAATAAATCTTTACAGTAAAATGAGAGAAAAAGATTTATTATTATTATTATTATTATTATTATTTTTTTTTTCTTTCTTTTCTTTTCTTCTTCTTTTTTTTTTCTTCTTTTTTATATTTTGTGCCCCGATTATTTATCACAGTGGATATATACGCGCGCGTTCAAAAAATAATACAAATTTATTCGATAATACAAATCATTTTAATATATTATTATTTAATATATTATTATTTAATATATTAATATATATCATTTGATATATTTTAATATATTTTAATATATTTTATATATTATAATAATACAAATTATTTTAATATATTTTATATATGTCATAAAATTAATATTTTTTCCTTCCTTTTGCTCGACGACTTATTGTTAATTACATTTTTATAATTATCCATACATTTTTATATTATCAGCAAATTTAAAACGAACAATATCTTTTGTTTAATTTTCTTCTTTACGCGGATAGATTTTGGGTGTTAAAGATACACGTAACCCAGATTTTGTATCGCGTACACACCCACGTATTCGTTCTTAACGAGATTAATCTGTTCTTTTGAATAAATCGTTGCGCCAAAGAGAGAGAGAGAGAGAGAGAGAGAGAGATTGATTCCTTTTTTTTTCCTTTTTTTATTTATTAGTTATGTATTTTTAAATGTTATATCAGGAAACTTTGTTGTGTACTCGATAAATTAGATAAAAATTTGTATCGTGGATACGTTTAACCTAAATTTATAACACCTACGTGTTTGTTCTTAACACTAAACCTATCTCATGCGTGATCAAATGTTCACATTCTGTAATTTTATAATAATACTATAATATGTAAAAAAATATATATCATTTATTTCTAAATAAAAGACAAAATTTTGTTCACCACACACACATTCAATTGAATTTTAATCATTAATTAAAAACCAATTAATTTATAATTGAAATTATATTTTATATTAAAATGATGTTGTTGTTGTTTTTTTTTTCATTAAACTGATCATTTGACTGCTTATGGTGGCAATGGTGGCAATGGATATTATACATGAAGGTTGGTTTAGTGTTAACAAGAATACCCAAATATTATAGGGGGATATTAGAGGGGTATTATATTATCGTGTCAATTTATAGTGATTTTCAAGATAAATCGATATCATACACACGTATTATACATACTCGTGCACATATACAAGTCGATAATCGTGGTTCTTTGCGTCGTTTGACACGAGCGCGAGTATTTAGTTTATATATAGAACGTGTGAACCTCGCACTATATAAACGGGGATGGATAACTTTACGGTCGATCTAATAATTTAGAAGCTGGTCAATTTGCGAAGGCTACTGGCTGCCATCTACGAAATTCAACTTTCCATTTTGTGATCGGTGTTTAAAGAGAATGACTAAAGATTTCGTGCTATAATAAATAAATAACACAAATAATATTAATTCATTGTGTTATATTGATTCACGTTAAAGAGATAGTACGATTGTTTTATTACAATTTTTACTTTTATTTTTAATTTCTTTATAGAAGAAAAATTGTTAATATTAAATTGTTAGGGTGGGTTAGAATATTTCTAATTTTTCAAGGATTATAATTTGTTAATAAGTAATAAAAATAATAATAATAATAATAGTTATTCTGAAATTGTTTTCTTCATCGTACAAAAGAATGTCTAACGAAAGTTTGTATATTTTTCTAATATCTCGGGAAAATGAAAATTAAAAATCAGGTTTCCTTTTTTTTTGTCTTTTTTTTTTTTTTCTTTATATATGGACGTATTAAATATTTCGTTGGAAATAGAATAGAATTATTTTTATGACGAGTAGAGACGTAACGTGCAGTATCTCCATCGTTAAGAATAAACAACACCTTTTATATTAAAATATTATATAAGAAATAATATGGAAGTTATATCGATTTATGCAAAAATTGGTTCGTGTTTAAAGGGCATTCTGATAACTCGAGAGTTCGCAAGGTGAACGTGCTTAATTCAGAAAATAATATTACGAGAAATTTAAATGAATTTTTCAAATTTATTCGAATATTTTCTAATCACCCCTATCGAGTTTATTGATAACAAAATTATTTTTCTTTGATAGAAAAAAAAAAAAAAAGAGTCTTTAGTGCGTTACATACACGTCACACATTACGCGCATTTTTATTACTCTTTCTTTTATTTTAATATTAACATTTTTCAACGCGATAAAACGAACTGTGTGTGTGTGTGTGTCTTGGTCATTAATAAAAAAGAGATTAAAATAAGCGCGTACATTTTCTTTTCTTTTTTCTTTCATTTTTCTTTTTCTTTTAATTTAGACCCAAAGGGGAAATCGCGTTATTTTTATTATTACGCTGCGTGTAATTGAATAGGTATGAAAAGCCAACAGGTTGTAACAAATTATTCCCCTTTACGGTTTCGTTAAAATCTTTATTATACCGTTAACGATTATCGCCGCGTGCTGCAACGGCATCGTGCGTTTTGGATACGATTTGCGAAAAAAAAAAAAAGAATAGCATTTTTTCTCTTTCTCCTCCCGTTTTTCTAACTTTCGTGTTATCAGCTACGATAAAATGCAAACGAGATGATATAAAACTAATAATCGTTTGCATCCCTTCTTCCTTACGTCTGAAGTAGCCAAACACGATAAGGATTCATTAAATAGGAAAAAAAATTATAATGATTCGTTGAAATTAAAGAAGAAAAAAAAAAAAAAGAACAAAGAAAATGAAAGATAAATTTTTCAACAATATAATAAAAACAACGAATATATTTGATACACGCATAAGTAAAGTACTCGATGAAAATAATATCGAATAAATTTAACGATATATTTTCAAATAAAATTAATGCATATCTCAAATGTATATCCGACAAAATTATATTCCCATACATTTTTCTTCCAAATTTCATTTATATTATTATTACTTTTTTTTTATTTATTTTTGTTTTATTATTATCAATATATAATATAATTCACATAACGAGAGTCACAATTTTTAGATTAATATCATATTACACGATACAATCTATCATAAATTCGTTTGTAATATTAATATTATTACCATGAAATTTAATATAAACTTTTCTATGAGATATTTATTTATTCGAATAGATAGATAGATAAAAAGAAAAAAAGAAAAGAAGAAAAAATAGAAAAAAATCATGTATAACATCGTTTAAAAGTGTCTTTAACAGATGGTATGGATTGTTAAATGAAGCCCACGTAAACACTTTACAAAAAGCTCTTACTTATTTTAGTAAATAAACATAGCACTCTCTCTCTCTCTCTCTCTCTCGGTCTGCAACGGGATCGATCGAGGTCAGTACGCGTAGAAACTCATGTCAGTAAGGTCGACGTTTCGACGATGATCGTTTTCAATCACTTTTACTAATATAAGGAAGCCCAGAAAAGACGACACGATATTTTAAGTCACGTTTGCCGCGTCCTCGGACCAAACAAATCTATCGTTAAAGTGAAAAAAAAAAAGGGTCGATGTAAAAAAGAAGGGTAGTTCGAAGGTCGAGAGGATAGGACGAACGGAGAATACATGTTACGTGTGTATGTGTATATGTGTATATCTGTGGTTGAATGTATATCTGCATTATTACGTGTATATGTATGCGTATGAATGTATAACTGCATTATTACGTGTGTATGTATACGTATGAATGTATATCTGCATTATTACGTCTGTATATGTATCTGCATATTTTTGTTTGTGTAAACATTTACGAATGTATGAGTAAATGGATGATCTCGTGTTTGCGTATATATGTGTGTGTATGAAGAAGACAACTAAAAGTATAATAAAAAAAAAAAAAGGACAAAAAAAAAGAAAGGAAAAATCATATTACCAAACAGCATTGGGATAATTTCTTTGAAAGAGCACAGAGAAAAACGCAGGTGACGTAAATCGAGACGGCGGCGTATCGGCGAGAAAAAGCTTCGAGGAAGCTAAAGGAGGAGGAGGAGAAGGAGAAGGAGAAGGAGGGGGAGGAGGAGGTGGTGGCGGAAGAGGAAAAGGAAGAGGAAGACGTAAAGTGGCGTAAAAGAAGGAAGAGAAGAAGAAGGTCGACTTGGGATGAACTTTTTCATAGAAGAATAAGGAGCAATAGCAATAGCAAAAGCAAAAGCAAAAGCAAAAGCGATAGCACCGGCAATAACGTCAGCTTGACGAATAAAAGGTGTTGGTGGACTAGGGGTGGCAGGAGGTGGGGACGGGGGAGAAGGTTGATGCGGGGGAGGTGGAGAAGAAGAAGAATAGGAAGGAGGAACACTTGGTGCGTGTTGTTATTTGTGGAGATATCGTCGATGAGATAGAAAATATGTTAAAGGGAGGATATAAAGGGCAGGGAATTATTCGATAGGAAACAAATATTATATTTATTATATAGTGCGTGATTAAAAAAATTTACACATAAATATATATCTATAAATATATATATATTTAGAATATATAAAATATATTCAAATATATATATACATATATATATATATATATATATATATATATATATA